GTAGCTGGCATGGATAAATGAAGAAAGAAAATAAGTAGTTAACGCACTTTGTTTTACTATTTTTTCTTTACGGAAATAAATCGTATTGCAGCCTATTAAGGAAAAAAAAATGAAAACAAATTTGTCATGAAATCGCAATAACTACAAAAATGTAGTTATTAGTTTAAGTTATCCTTAAATGTTAACAAAACATACATACTGGTACAGTATTGCTGCTATTTATACTTTATGCAACACTTATGTATGTGTACTATATCATTAGGTACTTGTCTGAAATGCAATTGCACAACCTTCCCCCGGGAATCTTTGAGAATAACACAAGATTGAAGTTTTTGTAAGTAACATCTCTGTCTTAACGATTTAGACTCAGGATTATTGACGAGCGAGTCTTATTTATGTACGAAAACATATGTAAAGTTCAAGTTTGAAACGTGAAAAAGAAAATCCTGCTCATTTTATTTCATGCTGTGCTCCAAAAGAACAAATCACGCACAACGGAGTCTCCTTGCCAATCCTCGCAGCTGCCGAAAAAATTCAAATTTCAGACTCGTCATCACCTGCGCACCTATTTCGCACGTCCAGAAGAACAAGAAATTTAAGAGACTCAATGATACATAAAATAGTACCAAATCTTTCTTGAAGTGCGGCTAAGATGTGCTTCTTTTACTGCTGAATAGCTCTAAAACCCTCTAAGTGTTTTTGTTTTCAAACTGATACAAGTCAAGGTGTTGTAGAGAAACCTTGGAACTCATATCAAGGAGGCACTCTGACATCTTCTGTCACATTCCTGACATGGAATTCTATAACCAGACTGGCCTTTTGAAGAGACTCATTCTATTTAAAACAGGCATTACCAGGTGTTTATTCAAAATATTTTCATCAAATTTCCATTATAGACCGAATGCAATTACAAACCACACTTTCTCTTAGTATAATTTAAATATATTCCTGTGTGAATTGATGAGTATTTGGGATGAAGTTAGTACAAGCAAATAATCATTTATGAAAGTAATGCAAATTTTTGCCAAATCGGCAAGACATTAATAATAGTCTCGGTGATTCCCCTACCCTGAGCGATAAACTTCAGGGGTATCTTAACACTATTAATCAGTTTATTTGGTAAATAACACAGGCGCCTGAATGACAACGACATGAAAGTATTGAATGGAAGCGCCTTCAGAAACATGACACTTTTAAAGGAACTGTAAGTGAATACGGAAATACTGTTTTTGAAGGCATTGTTTCTCGTAAAAACAAAGTCAAACAGATAGATAGATAGATAGTTTAATCTCAAATGCATTTGCAGCCCGAGGGCTGAATTACACATTTTTACAATCCAAGAAATTTAAAATTTAAAATTCAAAAACCTAATTACACGTCTTATTATACCAGCAATTTACAATATAATAACATAATAATAAATTAAATAAAATACATTAGTTATAAATGTAAACTCATTAAAATAAATTTAAATTAATTAAAAGTATCTACATTATCATTATCATTATTATTACTATAATTATCACGCGTGCCGTGACAAAAATAAAGGATATCGTATCGATAAAAATCTAGCCATTAAACCTCCTTGCCATAGCAAATATAAAAGTGTTCATCGTTCTAGAAGTGCGAAGGCGTGGCATATTAAATTGGCGCTTATTTTTGAAGTTATAGCTGGGTTTATGTATGGGTGGAAGAAGCGCCTTTAACTTGTGGCTAGGGTTGTCTAAGATACCTTTAAAAAGCTTCTGACATAGAAATTCGTAATGTTCTAAGATGGGTCGTATTCCTAAATCTTGAGCAACCGCGCAATCACCCGCAGTTATAATGGAAATTGACCGTTTCTCAATACGTAAAAGCTCATTCTTCAGATATTGCGGAAGCGCATTATAGAAGACAGGTATCGCGTACTCTGTTACAGATCTTACACATGATGTGTAGAAAAGTACTAGGTCTTGTAAGGGAACCCTAGCTCTCTTTAGTTGCACTAAAAAATACAACCTCTTACTGGCCTTTTTGATTACTTCTGATATATGACTGTTCCAGGTCAAATCGCTAGCTATATTAAGGCCCAGGA